CGTTGATGTGGGCTGGCTCGTGTTGATGTGGGTTGGCTTGGGTTGATGTGGGCTGGCTTGCGTTGATGTGGGCTGGCTTGCGTTGATGTGGGCTGGCTTGGGTCAGGGGGCATCCTTGTAATCACTCAACAGGGCCTTGGGCTACGTGTACTTTGGAGTTTCTGTACTAACGGTTCTCTTCAGTATTTTTTAATTCAATTTAATTTATTACGTGAGGCATATCTTGCACAGCACAGCAAGAATAATTCATTTCCAGCAGAGATTACCAATAGCTGGCTGCCCAAATAGCAGTTTTACCCTCCTTGCTTGTTTTTTTTTTTTTTTTTGATAACAGGTTTTGAGATTTTGATTACACACAGACACTCAGGAATGTAGAGGCATTTTATGCGTTTCCCATTGTTGAAGTTCTGTCATTTGAGAGATAAAAATGATGTACATTCCTGCTTGGACTTATGACAAGAGTCATTGTCATACCTCTGTCTTGAATACTGTTTCTTCATTGGCCTGGGATGATCATGTGACAGGGCAACATGCATGTAACTGCACGTCACACTTACCATACATCACATCAGTCAGCGTTGTATGCTATTGTGTGCATGCACCCACGTACCCCGCAGGGACCGCTAATGTTCAAAGATTCCTTTGTCACCCTTAATTTGCCTCAGAAAAACAAGTGATAAACATCGAGAGAGATGACAAAACAATTGTCTGCTGTGACATGACATGACAGGATGTGACATTTTGAACACCCTTTGGTATGCATAACACCTAACCGAGGCATCATATCTCACATCACAGCAGTCAACCATTGTTAAATGTATTTGCTGTGATTGGATAGAGAATAATTAGTACTGTACGACTCCTCAAAGCACGTGATGCAACCTTACAAAAATGTCTAAATCACGAGAACCACTTTTGAGTAGAGAATCTTACACAGTAGGAATCAATACAAATCCTCACATTTTTCACCATCATAGAGTTCAGATTGCTCTCTGTAATGTTTTATTTTGCAGTATTTATATATATGTATACCTAAATATGGACTTAAAAAGAGACAGAAATTTCTCATCTATCTTCAGTCTTATTGGTAACTACATGTAAATGGATTTTTTGTGTGTTGTACTTTTAAAGAGGTTACAGCTATAAATTCCATACAATTTTAATATTGATTTTCTTCTGTTATATTTAAATAACTACTCTTTAACACCAGTGATTTGTTTAAAGGATTTGAGTAAAGATTTGTTGTGGTGTGTAGGTAGTTGCTTGAAAACATTGAAATAATAGTGCAAATTACACACACAAATGATCATTAATTCAAATACAGCAGTGAGAGAAGTGTGCTTCATAAATTTGCCAGGGAAACACATGTACTTTTATAGAGCAAAACAGGGAAGAAATTCTTATAACAAATCTGAAGGGCAAACGTCATTAGTTTGGCCCTCAGTTTTTCAGGGGAGGTGTTGTACTTCATACCATGCTGTCATTAATGAATATAGCATGTTACGTAGGTTGCATAATTGATTGAGCAGTCCAAGTTAAAGCTACATGTGTATGTCAAAAGTACGTCACATATACAAACTGACATGCTGTCAACAGTGACGCAGATACATTGTAGCAGTGCATACTCAAGATCAGAAAAATATCCTTTTCCTTCCCTTTTTTTTTTCTTTTGTATCAACTGATTTCCTCTTCACTGTCATATTTTTAATGGCATCTCGAAACAGTCAC